TTTCACATAATGAATACTACGTTAGCATTATTTCATTATGCATAATAATAAAGCACTGTTCAACTTTATTCCTAGTGTTTAAATTGCCTAACTTGATGCAGCACAAAAGATTTCTTACTAGATTACCTAGAATATGTTTTTACTGAAAGAAATGTATACATTGTTTAGATAATGTACATTGCCTAGGAACCATCTTATTTAAAAATGCTTTTAAAAACCTTTAATATTTTAAACTTTAAAGTATAGAAATACTATTTTCCAGCCCTTCTTCTGGGCATACAAACATGGATAAGACATGATTTCTGTAGCTGAAAAGCTTACATTTTAGTGAAAAAGTTATATGTGTAGGCAGGTACCTATAACAAGGTTTTAAGAAGTATCATTGAAGTTAACCTAAATAGCTAAGGGAGCACAGATGGGGGAATGATTAAATGTAACCTTGTAGAGGAGAGGAAAGGTAAAAGAAAACTCTGTTGTTTCCTTTATAAAATCAAGTGAGATCTTCTATGTGTTGACTGATGATCCTAATATTTTACTGTTAGAAATTAGACATGCTTCTTTCTGGGATTTTTTTCCCTACATAAATCTTTTGTTTACAACTCATTACCTTTTGGTTCTAACAATTGGAGTTAGAAAAGCTGGTTGAGGGACGCCTGGGTGGCTCAGTCGGTTACGCGTCTGCCTTCACTCAGGTCATGATCCCAGGGTCCTGGGATCGAGCCCCACATCGGGCTCCTTGCTCAGCAGGGAGCTTGCTTCTCCCTCTCCCTCTGCTTGTGCTCTCTCTGTGAAATGAATAAAATCTTAAAAAAAAAAAAGAAAAGCTGGTTGATGAGTAATCCTCGAAGGGAAAGATGAATCCAAGTGTCAAGATTTGAGTCCATGGGGATTCTTTTGTCTTTGGGCTTGGAGCACCAGGATGTAATTTCCTAATTTCTACAAGGAAACTGCAGGTGTTTGTTTGTTTGTTTGTTTAAGGCTTCACACAGAAGTCACCATCCAAGCTGTGCTTTGAGAGATAAGTAGAATTTTCCAAGTAGGGGAAAGATATGGGCAGAGGAACAGTCGGATGATGAGAGTAAGGGAGAGTAAGAAAATGGGGCTGACGCAAGAGTATTTTAGTCTGCGGAGCAGGGTGAATGGTGATACTATTAAGTAAGGAGGGGAATACAGAAATAGAATTGGGAGCTGGAGTGGAATATGATCTCTCTTCTGGGCATGTTAATTTGGGAAGTTTTTGGGAATTTCAATAATTGATATTTTTCATTCTTTCCCCTGAAAATTATTATTTATTTTTTTTAAGATTTTATTTATTTATTTGACAGAGAGAGACACAGCGAGAGAGGGAACACAAGCAGGGGGAGTGGGAGAGGGAGAAGCAGGCTCCCCGCAGAGCAGGGAGCCCGATGCAGGACTCGATCCCAGGACCCTGGATCATGACCCGAGCCGAAGGCAGTTGCTTAACCAACTGAGCCACCCAGGCGCCCTCCCCTGAAAATTATTAATCACCCTATGTGCCTAGGTGTCAAGAACAGAGACATAAGAAACAACATATTCTCAAAAGGCTTACAGACTCTTGGAAAGAGAGACAAGGCAATAATTACAAAACACATTTAAATATGCTGTGATAGAAATGATCACAGCTTGGTGACGGGGAACTTGAGAGTTTTGATCACCTAATGGACGCTGAAGCTGGGAATGGGGAGAAGGAGAGATGAAGGTTAGGAAAGAATTCCTGTGAAATTGCCTCATGAGATGCAAATGTTGTTTTGCTGTGTGAGTTAACAAGATGGCAGAAGGTGGAAAGAGGGGACAACATTTCAGGCAGAAATATTTGCTTATATGAAGCCTTGGAAGTGTGAGTGAATAACCTACTTATGGTTTAACTGGTAGGAACTATGGTAAGTGGGGATTGATAGGGTCCTGCAGATCATGTGTGTCTTGATTTTGATCTTGAAGCCAGTCATGTTGGTAGTGTTAGGAAGTTAGTGAAGGCTTTAAGGTAGGGGAATGACTTGATCAGATGAGATGCCCAGCAACCACTTAAAGCTATGAGCTGTATCTCAGAGAAGTAGTTGGTGTTGGGAGTATAAATCTAACTCTGGGTTACCATGATGGATAAAAAATGCTTCTTGCTTAGTTGTGGAGACAGATAGGTAAGCAAAAATTACATTACAGTATGCACGTACTGTAGTGTGAAGTGCTGTGGATTGAGGAGGAAGTGATTTTGGGACTATGCATTTAGAAGTCATTGGTATAGGTGGTATTTGCAACTGAGAATGCTGATGAGATTTTTCAGGGAAAGAATTTAAAAATAGGAATGAATGAACTAAAGGTAGAATTCTGGAAAAATGCAGCCTTCATAGGGTAATGGTTGAAGAAGAATTGTCTAAAGCTATGATTTTAGCAATGTGGATTGCAACTTACTAGTAGGTTGCAAAATCAGGACAGTGGATGTGAACTTAATATGGTTGGTTATAGACCGAATTTTCAAAACAGATTAGGAGAGAATAGAAAATATCAGTAATTACTGTCTTGTGAAATTTTGTTCAGAATTGTGTGTTTGTGCATGTGTGTAAAATGCATATCTCATTATAAGTGGTGGTCACAAACTTTTGAAAAACACCGATGAAAGAGACTAAGGAAGAACAGTCAGAAATTGCTAAATCACTTTTGTTCTTCACTAATCTGATGGCAAGGGAAAGAAACAAACCCAGTGAAAGTTCAATGAGAAGGAGATTTTCTCTTTGTGGTTCAGATGGGCTCCCCCTAGGCCACCTTTATTACCTCAGTTGTATAGGAGGAAAAATCGAAAGAAATAAGGGAAAAGGACTCACAAGATTCTAAACTCGAAGACAGAGAGGGAGATAGAGAATATGAATGAGAGAGAATGAACCCACATGGAAGCTGAATTTTTAATCTAACCCTACTGTGTGACAGCAAAAGTTCCATTCCCTAGCACATGGCCCAGCAAAGCCCCTTGGATTCATCCTACTATTTCAGCTCTGTTCTTTATTATGGAGCCAGAGGAGGAACTTGAGGAAGGACGCAAAACTACCTGTCATTAAAATTGTGATGTAGTATTACCAATAATAGAGATTACTGAGAGCTTGTCTAGGGGTCAAGAACTGTTCTATCTATGCACTTGAAGTGAATGATCTTACCAACTAAGTTAATATTTGTAAAGCTCTTAGAACAGTGCCTTGCACATGGTAAGCACTCAGTTGTCTGGTTATCATTAATAGAACAGTGCACATGGTAAGCACTTGGTCAGTATTGGCTATTATTGTGTATTATTACTAATTAGCTAAGTTACTAATTATCACCACTTTACTAGTAAGGAAATGGAAGCATAATAAAATTAAGTAACTTGCTCACAATCATATAGCTGGAAAGAAATGGAATCATTCCTTTCTGAGTGGGAGGTGAAAGTGATTAGTGTAGATACATGGTGAGTTATATGACAATTGGTGCTTGAAGTACGTTAATGGGCGAGGGAAGAGGAAAGATGGGCCATAAGTGAAAGACTTCGTGAAGAGAACAATACTCCTTGGCTTGGTGATTGGTTAGATATGAAGTAAAAAGATAACCAACATTTTAAGCTGGTCGACTGGGAAAATGATAAATAAGATGTAAGAAAATAAGAAAGAAAACCTTTCTTGGTAAGAAACAATGACAAATTCCATTTAATTGTGTTGAATTTTACATGAGATAGTCAAGTAAAAGGAGTAGCCCAGAATTTAAAAATAAAGATAGAGATACTTAGGCATTATCACATAAAAGAGTTGATAGAAGCCGTGGGAGTATTTGAGATCTTCAGAAATGTCCAATATATTTTGGCCACAAGAAAACCTGGGGAGTAAAAAATAAGATCATGGTAATTGCCCCCACACAAAATTTCTACAGCTTTGCCCACATCGGCTTTGTGGAAATCTACGAATAGTTCCAGGAATCTTTGAAAGAGAGCATATCACTTCTGCTCTGGGGGCTGGCTGTTGTGTGGCATGCAGTTTTCCTGGCTCCTGCCCTTGGCTGTGCCTGTCTCCTTGTGCTGCCCCTGTCAGTGAGGGCAGAGAGGCTCCGCTGCGGTTTGGCACCTTCCCTGCTGCCACAGAGACTGTGGTTTCCCTTCATGGCATTCTCAGAGACCCTGGAGGGTCAGTGGCAAGAAGGCTCTCCCAGTTTTTCTTATTCTCTTCTTATTTGCTCTGTTCCCACCTCAGGTTTCAGACTTGCTATTCACTGGCTTTTTCGGCACCCCTGTCCAAGTGACAGGTGTGTTGGCTTCGTGGTTCCTCAATCAAATTTTTATGCCTAGATGGTTCCTGACCTTCAGATGAATTCTTACACAAATGTGTCTCAGTTTTTGCCCCATCAGTCCTTAGGCACATCTAGACTCATCTGAATCCTAGGGTGAAGGTCACTTACTAGGTTGAAACTGGGACCAGGACCCTCACTCCCTGCTCTCTCTAGAAGAGAGAGGTCAGCATGGGAAGTGCCCACATCTTCCATAATTGTCCCATCTCTTGTTCCTTCTGCTCCCTTTTCTTCTTCATATGGCTGTTTCCCTGGTTGATTGGAGATTATTTCTTCTTTTTGCCAAATGGAACAGTGATGTGCACTCCTGTGGAATTAGATCCCATCTGAATATTCTGTTGGGAGGTTTGATTCATTTCTTCCTTTTTTTTTTTTTTTTTTTAAATAATCCTTCTTAAAGCTTTTCATACCTCTTTACTGGAGCTTAGTAAAGATTTGAATATCTAGCACATTTTCCTTTCAAGTAGATATTGGTAATGTATTTTTCCCCTGGTTCACCTGTGAAGAATACCGATGAGTCTTTTTGAAAACTCATCATTGACAGTTACTTTAGAACAGCAATTTATTGGAAGCTACTATATTAGAAATGTTTTATTGCACTGCACTAGAGCTATGAAGTGCAAGGAACCATGAAGATTGAAAAATACAAATGATAGATGTGTCTCTTTCTCCTTATTTTTTAGCCTTCTTTGAATCCTGGGGGGAGTCAATCATCTGATGTGGTGCTTTTAAACCACTGGAAAATGAGGAATTTTGAAGTACAACGTGGTGACATTGTGTCATTGGTGTAAGTAAATCAGAAACATATTTGTATATGAAATTATTTATAATTGTCTGATTTAACTGGTAATTTGCTGTTAATATCATTTGCCAATTATTAAATTAAGAGGTACATTTTAAATGTAATATATTTTTAAAAATCAATTTTGAAATGTAATAATGCTATAAGAAAGGATTTTCCTTTTATGTCTAAAATATATCAGTTGGTTGACATACTTGAATTTGGTAAAATGTCTTTAATGATATGTAGATTAGAAATTATATTGATGATCTAAAGTACATGTATTTGGTATCAGTTTGGATTATTCTGAAGTTTTGCATCTTGGAAGTAACCTTAATGTTACTTCATTTTTGTTAGTTTGTGTAGGTACACAATATTTCTAGAAGTTGATAATTGCGACATGAAATTCAGTGACATTTCTATGTAAGTCTCAGTGATTGAACTGAAATAAGGCAGTTTGGAAGATTAGTAGACTGGAGGCTTTTGTTTGGGACCAAAAGGTGGCACTGTTTCTCTGTTAAAGTATTATGACTGGTCAGGAACAAGAATTTCATTCCGGTCTTAAAGTAGAAGAAGAATGTCAAAGTGTGCATAACTGATGCAATGATATAATACATAGTCCCAGCATGTGCTCGAATGGTTTAGATTTGAGATTTGTTTGTTTTAAAAGTAAATTCACACTGAGGAGCCTGTAACAGAACTTGCCTGATTTCTTCTGGTTTCAGCTACTTATAAAAATTTTTTCCTATGCTTCCCTGTGATGGTAGTTAGTGCATCGGGGTAGCAATTAATATAGCAGTTACTGTCATTTGTTTTAACGTTAGTAAAATCCTGGTGTTTGGTGAAGACTTCCAATTTATATTTCTTTTTCTTTAATTGGAATGATTGTTTTTTTGTTGGATGAGAATATAATTGTTTGGTAAACATAAAACGTGATCTGCTTGTCCATACTTAACCTTTGGCTAGCCCTTTGTGGAAATAGACGTTTCATAAATGTGTCTCCTTCAAGCCTGTTTTACCAGGATTCATTTGAAAACATATTAACTAAATCTGATTAGTAACTAATAAAATAAATACATTTGAGTGAGGTTTTGTATGGCAGACATCCAAGGATGGGAATTAAATGCTTCTCATGTTCTTGAGTGCTTTCTTTAATATTAACCTACTCTTTGGACTCTACTTTTATTTTGTCATTCAGAGTACTTTTTTTGCAACCTCCTTAACAACCTTTTCCATGCTGGGTTAGCCTGTTGTGTGCTCATTATTCTTTTGCCTTTGGTTTGACAAGGTTACATTCTCACTTAGTCAGTGATGGAGAGGATACCCACCCAAGTGAAAGAGGTCACACCATAAGCAGACAATTGTGCAGTTTGTTTTTTTTTTCCCAAGAGAAACATGCTGGCTATCTCTAAGCAAGTAAATCTGAATAGGTAATTGGGGGAAAAAAAAAGGCTCCTTGAAATTCAGGGTTGCATGGGTCTATAAAAGTATGCTAGCATATCATGGACTATGTGAAAAAGAGAACACTATTCTCTTATGTAAATATTAAACTAATTAATATTTATTATATTAATTAATTTAAAAATAGTATATCTAAATTGGGGTTGATATAATAAATTATAGCTCCTTGGGTTGAGCTGTATTTTTAATGAGTTAATTATGTGCTCTATCTCTGACATGTACAAATAACGCAAATTTTCTTTTATAATGCTTGTTGCTAGAAGGAGCCATTTACATAAAAGAATGCTTAGTGATTGGTGGTATGTTATTTAACAACAAATAATCATTAAGCAATGATTTTTTTTTTTGAGAAAGGAAGAAGTCTTTTGCTAAATTCTTTTTTTAGCATGATGTAATACTGTATAAAAGACATTCAAAGTATCTTTTTAGTTTTATGAGCAAAAATGCTTTCTAAATGTCCTTATTATTTTATACATTTTATAACTGCTTCATTTGAAAAGATTAATGTTGGTTTGATCAATGTTCATGAGTATATATTTAATTCATGTCAACACCGAATATTTGCTTTTCTTAAAAAATGTATCAGTCTGGTTTTAACTTAGAGATAATTATCATTATTATATCAGAACATTCTATTTAAGAAATGTGTAATTCAAGAAATGCATGACTAAATTTGAATTTAAGGCTAAATAGAAACTGTAGTTTGTCATTCTGTTTACAAAATGATATGGCACATTTCATCGATACATTAGATCTTTGGGAATAAGGTAGTAAGACAATTTATATTTAAAAAATATCCTGGGACAGTGTTTTATATATTCAATGTATGTGGAAATACAGCATTTTAATTATAATATTATATGTACATTTCTGGAAAATTGCAGTTTGCAAATTCATAAAGTAGTAGGGCTAATGCAACTTTGTAACTAGAGTACTAATGAAAACAATAACAATTCAATAAAACTGCTAGCACAGTTTAAACGACGTGAAATTTTTTATAAATAAGCATTGCAGTAAATGTAGGATTTATTTAAAATGACAAAGCTGAAGGTAACTTGAAGGCAATGTAAGGAAGGGTTGAACTTGTCTATGTATACAAGGGCAGAGGGACATTTTCATCGAAGTTACAAATAGAAGATTGCAAGCTCTGTACAAAATGTACTGATACCAGAGGCGTATCCTCTGCTCATTGGTCAGTGTTACCTTACTTTATTTATTTATTTACATGTATATATATTTAAAACAAAGATCAGAGTTAACCTTTCAGTAAGCACTTGTAAGAGAAGGATTGAATATATAGTACTGATTCCTTCCTGGCTTATTGCCATTAGCGTACTTAGCCTTCAGTTGCTATTATTAAAGAGGCAATGCATTACTGATCTGAGAAGAAATTCCATATGAACTAATGCAGCTTCTGATTTATACTGAAACCCTTTCTCCATAGTCCCCTGTGAGCTGATTCATGTTGCAGAAACACATGCTGTAGTAGAACAGACTTTCTTTTCTATTGCAGTGGGTTTTGTTTGGAACTTATTGACCCAGGCTGTTCCCTAAAGCGTGGAAGGTCTGAGGGGGTACATATTAGTATATGCTTCTTTGCATCTCTTCCTTATCTTTTCTTGTCACTTTCTTTCTGTGAAAAGTTAGTCTCAGTGGAGCTAATGTTTAAGCATGTTATTCGGTAACGTTAAATAAAAAGATATATTTATTTAATAACATTACTCGTCACATAAAACATTATTTGCTGTCATCAGGTCCTTGGTATTACTGAGCGTATGTAGGTGACATCATACTCTCTTAGTGGATTTGTGAACTAATAGTGGTGATTAAGGTGGATTTTCGATACCTTGGAATTGACTTTTCATTAACTTGTGTGATGGCCTTATTGCAATAGGCTTAACATAAGTAGCATATTTACAGTGACATATCCGTTGGTAAATCCACTGGGACAGAGGTGCCTTCACAATAAAGTTTCAAATAATCACACTTAAAAGTTTTTTAGCTTTTTATTTTGAAATGTTATTAGACCTCAAGAAAGGTCATAAAAATAGTATAGAGAATTCCCATATAACTTCCAATGTTTTTTTTTCATCTTTATTGATGTATAAATGTGTGTGTGTGTGTATGTGTGTGTATAGTGATAGGATTCACCCCACTGAGTTAATTAACACATCTGTCACCTTACATATTTACCTTTTGTGTGTGAGAACATTTAAGTTCTACTTTCTTAGCAAATTTCAATGGAAGAATACAGTGTTATCAGCTGTAGTCACCATGTTATCTAGTAGATCAGCAGACTCTTCATTTTATACCCCCCTAAATTAACATTGTACATTACCATGGTACAATTACTGAGATGAAGTTGACACTGATACAGTACTATTAACTAACTCACAGACCTTATGGGAGTTTCACCAGTTTTTCCACCAAGGTCTTTTTTCTGCACCAAGATCCTACACAGGATCCCATATTTCATTTTGATTTTTTAATCTCTCTAGTCTCCTCCAATCTGTGATAGTTCCTCATTTGTTCTTTGTCTTTTTTTATCTTGACACTTATTTTGTAGAAAAATCCTTACCTTTAGAAGTTTCAGGTCGGTGTATGTTCCAGTGGAGACATTGCTATTGATGGCACTTGCTGGGGAAGCCGTAGTTGTGGTAAGCTCCAGGTGGAGGAGACAGGGCCAGAGAAGGAAACTCTCTCACCTAAGTCATTTTGGTTTCTGAGGATCACATACTTGGGTCACGACTAGGAGACCCCATGGCTTCCAGAAGTCCACACAGTCACGTTTACTGCTGCTAGAAAGCAAGGCGGGAGAGCCATGGAGAGCCATGCAGATGGGGGAAAGGCTAAAGTTTATAGTACAGATAGAAGAGAGGGAACTAAGGCCGGGTCACAGATGATACGATACTGAGCCCATGTTCAGTTCTAGAGTAGAAGGTGAGGGTGGGGAAATTCTCATTTAATGAGCACCCCTGTGTATCAGGCATTGTGCCATGCACTGTGTGTATGCCATTTTTACTTAATTCTCGTAACAATATCTGGAAATGGTTATTTTTAACACAGTGAAAATGAGATTTAGCAAGTAAATAGCAAGTGAATAGCAGAGCCAGAATGCGAATTCAGGTCCACTTAACTCTGAACTTGTCCTGTCTGACGTAGCAGGCAAATGTGGCTGTTGAGCAGCTAAAGTGGTTACTGCCCCTTGTTAAAATGATAATATTTTAGGTATATTCAGTCAGATAAAATCCATTATTAAAATTAACTTAAAGGTTTCTTTTTCTTTCTTTTTTTTTTTTTTTTTTAAAGATTTTATTTATTTATTTGACAGAGAGAGACACAGTGAGAGAGGGAATACAAGCAGGGGGAGTGGGAGAGGGAGAAGCAGGCTTCCCGCGGAGCAGGGAGCCCGATTTCGGGGCTCGATCCCAGAACTCCGGGATCATGACCTGAGCCGAAGGCAGATGCTTAACAACTGAGCCACCCAGGCACCCCTCTTTTTCTTTTTTTTAACGTGGCTAGTAGAAAATTCAAAATTAAACATG